ACGAATAAGTTTAAGAAAGATACTAAAATATCTGAATTAAGAACTGATGATAATGAAACGATAGATCTAAGTCAAATTCCAAATGCGTTTAATTTAATAAATATTTTATTGAATTGGGATGCACGTTATGTAATGACATCCAACCCTCGACCACGACACCTGAGGATTATTTTGCGGACTTCGAATGTCCAGCAAATACACTATCCTATCTTAAATAAATATCTGAGACAGAAATCATAAGATTGCTTCACGGTCTTTGTGCATCAAAAGCATCGGAAATGTATCAAATTTTGGCTATAAGATTCTGAAAATCGCAGCCCCGCTAATTGCACCCCCACTTACATTAATTTTCAACGAATCAATTCGTACAGGTATATTTCCAACTGACCGGAGAAAAATATAGCATGACTAATTATAGACCTATATCGGTTATTTCGATTGTAGCAAGAATTATGGAGAAGCTAATACACAACCGGATCTATGAGTATTTAATCGAGTCAAATTTACTATCAATTTCTCTGCAAGGATTTAGATCTCTTCATTCCACGGTCTCAGCACTACTAGATATCACGAATAAATGGTACCAGAAAATGGATATTGGCCAACTAACTGGTGTTTTTTAAACCTGAAAAAAGCTTTCGATACGGTTATCATGAAATCCTCTAAAAAAACTTGAACATTTATGGCATAAGAGGAACGGCGTTACAGTGGCTTAGATCTTACTTAGCAGGTCGAACACAATATTGCCGAATAAATGGTCAATTATCCGATCCACAAACTGTGATAAATGGTATACCACCACGATTCGGCTCTGGGCCCACTCTTGTTCTTGATTTACATTAATGAGTTACCAAAATGCCTAAAGCATACAATTACAAATATAGATTTAACGTTTGTTCGATCACTGCAAACATGTATATCAATCATGTTTCGCTCGCTACTCTGGTTTAAATAAATTATTACAAAGCCCAGTCGAATTGTAATCATGACCCAACGTTTCGACACTCCAATCTTGTGTCTTCATCAGGGGGTGCTCTAAAATGCAATCGCGGCTTCTTAAATACTCAAGGGATGACGTCACCTGCCAATGAGATGCATGTATTCCTCCGGCAAATAGGCACCGTCATCACTGGCAATATTGACACAATTGCGCCTTTTTGTAAACACGCGTTGCGTGTATTCCGCGCAATTGCGTGGCTCCTTTCGCTCGCGCATGCAGTAGTTACAACCGTACTACTGTAGTTACAACCGTTTTGAGATATGCCTTTACATTATTTCATAGTATATAGTCTAAATATTTATCGGATGAAATCAAACGTATACAGAAAATAACTATTTTATTTTATTTTATTTTATTTTATTTTATTTTATTTTATTTTATTTTATTTTATTTTATTTTATTTTACAATCTTTGTCAAATAAATGACAGGTTATACCCACAGAGCAGAACACTCCTTTTACGGTGTAGAAAACTTCATGTTACTTTCATATAGTGTCTAGTGAGCACGAGTTCTAGTGAGCGTTTATATACCGTGATGTGAGTTTATACTTTATATTTAAATAAAGAACGTTATCTAAAGTAAATTGTGAGTTTTAAGGAAACGTAGTGGATCGAGAGTGCTACGTTTTCGACACAGTGGCGACCCCGGCAGGATTAGCGAACCTTTTGCGAGAAAGAAGAAATTTCGTTAGTTGGCAACAAGCGTACGCGTTTCATCGGCAAAGTGAAAGTGACCTATTACAACGATATTTGTGAGTTTGTCCATTGACATTTTGTGAATAATCATTGAAATCCATTAGCTTGACTTCGACTTGATATTTGCGACTTATTATTTGGGCTTTTTTAAACGATATTTTTCGAATTTTGTGCTATAAACTGTTGATTTTGTGGAAATATTTATCGGTGTTGTGCCGACCGCGCATTCGAGAGACATTCGGAGACCTGGGAACGAAATACATCTCTACTTCATTTAAGCAAACTATATCGTACTGTAAGTTATTCGGGGCGTTTTTTGTCGTAAATTTCGGGAACGTTGAGCTTTAGCAAAGCTATTCTAGCTAAAAACACCCAAATTAAAATGGATAAATCATTGGAAGAACTTTCATGCAAGATAAAAACATTAAAGTTTCGGATGAACAAGACCAATGACGTCATCGATAAAAGGGATAGGGAGGCTCTGGAGCGGCAGCGTTTATCTGTCGCATCAAGTGCAACGGTAGCAAACACCATTAAAGAGACCATTGAAGAGAGCATGTTTGCGAAGGGGGAAACAGAAGAAAAGGTAAAAGAATGGTCACAGGAAGTCGAAGTTTTGTTGGCTGAGGCAGATCAATGCATCCGTTTGATCACCAACGAACTAAAAGATATTGAAGCAGCTGCTCAAGAGAGTGTGATCTTAAAAGAACAACAGCAGAAGCTGCAGTTTGAGAAAGAATTGACAGAGCAACGATTACGTCAAGAGCAAGAATCTGTTGAAGAGAAAAGAAAACTTGACCTGGAACATCATGAAAAGCTGAAAGAGGTACAACAAAGCTCAACCCCACACGAGACTGGTTTTGTAAAAATGGCAAAGCTGGTTATAACTAAATTTGACGGAACACCTCAAGACTGGGTCAGATTTTGGGGACAATTCCATGCACAGATTGATAAATCCAATGTGGATCCTGTTACGAAGTTTTCGTTCCTAAAGGAGCTAGTGGAAATTAAGGTACGCAAATTAATTGATGGGCTCCCGTTTACAGATGAAAGATATGAAAAAGCGAAGAGTCTTTTGGAGAAAAAATATGGAGATTCGAGTGAAGTAGTTGGTGCATATGTGAGAAGTATACTGGAGTTACCGACCATACGAGAAAGAGACGTGGTGAAAATACACAACTTTTATGAAACACTGTTATACAATGTTGAGTCATTACAAACATTGGACAGTCTTGGTAAACTGGATGCGGCAGTTAGATTCACCGTTGACAAATTGGATGCGATTAAGAGCGAATTAGCGATGACTAATGAAGACTGGAACAAATGGACCTTTGAACAATTTGTTGAAGCTCTCGAAAAGTGGACGAAAAACAATCCAGTAAGGGGTAGATAATTTTTTGCAAATAGAGACGATGGTAATACGTATCACACGAGAGGCGGTCTCTTCTGTTCTGATGAAAACCACAAGGCCCTTAATTGTGACAAAGTTGTTCGATGTGAAGACCGGAAGAAAATCTTCGCAGAAAAGCATCTGTGCTTCAACTGTGCGGGGGGCAAACACAGAGCTGTGGATTGCAAGAGCAAGGGTAGATGCCAAACGTGCGGTGGAAAACATCACACTACACTTTGTGACAAAAATCAGAAGCCTCGAGAGCCTGGAATGACTGCGAGTCACATCGGTCCAAGTTCTGTGATTCACCCGGTAGTGGTTGTACGCATAAACGGCTATAAATTCAGAGCCTTACTGGACAGCGGTGCCAATCATTCGTACGCTTCATCCACAGCCATCAACCTCATTGGAGCTAAAGTTAAGTCTACTGGCCTTCGTCAAATAGCTACGTTAACCGGAGTAACAGCGAGAACCATGCAAGTTTACGCCATAAAGATGGATTCTTTGTCCGATGACTTTAACGTCGAGGTGAATCTTACGAAGATTGAGAAGAAGGAGCTCCTGTTCTTGGAGAACCCACACTACAAGGAAATCATACGAAACCATTCTCATTTACGAGGAGTCGACATGGATGATGATGATGATAAAGATATTTTACCAGTTTACATATTACTCGGAGCCAATGACTACGCAAAGGTACGCACTAGTGAGAACTTGCGTGTTGGTCGTATAGGAGAGCCCGTTGCAGAGCATACGAAGTTCGGATGGTCTATCATGTCACCCGGTGCTGAGCAAGAAACTTCCCTTGGTTGCTTAGCAGTGAATTCCATTGCCGACTACGACAATCTTTGTTCATTAGATATGCTTGATTTAGCGGACCCAACCGGACCAGAAGACAACATATTCAACAAGCCAAACGTGAACGAGCCAAACGTGAACGAGCCTAACGTGAACGAGCCAAACATGAACAAGCCTAACCTGAACGAGCTTAACGTGAGCCAACCTAACGTAAACAAGCCTGACCAAAGCCAGCATAACCAGAATCAGCCTGACCAGGTTCAACAGGGCATAATGCCAGTGGATGGGGATAAAGAAGGAACTGACGTTCAACCGGGCAGAAATACGGACACCTCGAATGAACCACCATCACAGCAAGGAGCAACAAATGTGAATCAACCAGATTTACCAAAGGTACCATCCAATGTAAACAGATTGCCTTCATATGGCCCACCAGCGTGGAATACGGCTATTTTCGTCCCACCTGCAAGGCAGCTTTCCTATGGTGAAATAGTCCAGCCAAGGATCAGTGGCCGACTGAGGAAAAACCATAAACCAAGCGAGGAAAGAAAAGTTAAGAAGGAGCCATCGTTAGTTGGAATCGAGGGAAAGAAACAGTCGAGCGAAAGAAACAGAAATCGCTGGCCAATGGGAATTGTCAAAGAGCTCATCAAAGGCAAGGACGGAGTTGTTCGTGCAGCGAAACTGAAAAGCGGTCGAGATTTTTTAGAATGTACGCCACAACATCTGTGTCCTCTTGAACTAAGCTGTGGCACTTTTAAACGGAAGGATGGAGAGAATGTTATCGTCCAGAAGCCAGTCGAGCTGAATCCGAATGCGCCCAGATTCATGCCGAAAAGACATGCTGCTGCCGAGGCTCGGAGACGGATTTACGAACAGTTACGCGATGAACAGACACTTGATTAATAATTATCTTATATCTGAACATTACATTAACATAATCGAACTCTAGGTCGAACAGTTACTGTTGAGTTTTCTATAATTAGACATGCATATGATTTTGCAACAATATGCATGGGGGAGTGTGTAGAAAACTTCATGTTACTTTCATATAGTGTCTAGTGAGCATGAGTTCTAGTGAGCGTTTATATACCGTGATGTGAGTTTATACTTTATATTTAAATAAAGAACGTTATCTAAAGTGAATTGTGAGTTTTAAGGAAACGTAGTGGATCGAGAGTGCTACGTTTTCGACAACGGGTAACCTTGACTATTTATACAGAATACATATAAGTGATAATTATTAACAGCACGATTTAACAGAGAGACTAGACAAGGGACGACATGAATGACATTTAACACAGATTGTTTTGAAAGTTTGTGGCACACCAGTGTCATAAATTTCTTCAGACATTTTCTGATAGTGATTAAAGAGATTACACTTAAATTGATTAATAGAGAGATTTGCTTGACGTAAAACTGATGGTAAACAGTTAAATGTCCTAGAAGATCTGCAATAAAAACCGTTTTGAAATGTTAATGTATTTGCACAGGGAATATGTAATGTAATTTGAGCTGTTCCACTGTTTTCCCTGGTCACGGGACAAGTTGTCTTTATTTGGATGTTCCGGTCCGGGGAGGAAACAAGCATTTTGTACAGATATACGATATCAATATATTCATGCCAGTACGACAGTGGTAACAGACCAGTTTTTATGAGTCTTTCTTTGTATTATATTCTCGACATGAATGGTAATGTAGAATATATCTGGTTGCGGGGCGTTAAACGTTTTCAATTTGAAGTATCAGTGATACCGATTGTAGTGAATAAACCTGTGTACAATATGCCAACTGACTTCTTACCATGGTCTTGTACAGAGCAAGGCGAGTTTTCTCATTACGGATGTCCAATGAAGATCTTTTGATGTAGACAAGCATTTTGTTAGCTTTGGCAGAGACCATAGACACATGCTGGTTCCATTTCAAGTGGGATAAGATCACAACACCGAGATCTTTCTGAACACTTGTTTTTACTGATTTGGATGTCCTTAAGAAGGTAGTTGAACTTTACTGGCTTAACATTTCTAGTCACAGAGAGAACTTCACATTTAGTTTATTTACGCCCATTCGCCATTCTTTACACCATTCATTAACACCATTCAGAAGGTTTTGGAGATACTGAGCGTCTTATAAAGCTCTGACTGGACGATAACATTTAGTATCATCAGCGTATATTGCTATAGAAGATGAAGATGTTGCTTGAGGAAGGTCGTTCACGTAGAGACGAAACAACAAAGGTCCAAGTATTGAACCCTGTGGTACGCCAGACAGTACGGGGAGTGAATGAGAGGTCTTTCCAAGCACGGTTACTCTTTGATTGCGATTTGAAAGGTAGTCTTCAAACCAATTCAACAAAGTTCCGCTGATTCCAAAATTCTTCAACTTATTGAGCATCAGTCGATAATCAACTCTATCAAAAGCTTTTGCGACGTCGAGATAGACAAGATCTATTTGAACCCTCTTGTCAAGCATTTCACCGATCTCTTGTAACACTTGTAAAAGTTGAGCTGCTGCAGACTTCCCTCTAAGAAAACCAAACTGAAGTTGATGAATGTTGATTGAAACATGCTCTATTAGTCTATTGTACACACAGCGTTCGAAAACCTTGGAAACGATTGAGAGTAGTGAAATCGGTCGATAATTGGACACATCTTTTAACTGAGCTTTCTTTGGAATTGGTATCACGTTAGATGTTTTCCACGCAGTTGGGATTTTTCCGATTTTCAGGCTTTGGTTAAATACATCGCAAAGAGATGTACAAATTTGGGGAGCACAGCATCGTAGCAGTTTAGCACGAATGTTGTCGGGACCAGTTGCTTTACTGTCATCAAGAGACAGAAGGATATTTTTCATTTCGTCTGGGGTAATAACTATGTCACTCAACGTATTATTTAAGGTTGCAGAACACCTTTGAGTGTTAATATTGCCTAAACATTTTTTATTGGTTTCCATGAAAGCATTAGACTAGTTCTACTATCTGACCAAGTTTCGACGAAAAATGTTGAAAACTCGAAGAATTATTTAATAAAATACATTTCGCTGCAATAAGAAAAACATTGAAAATGTAATATTCAAATTCAATTTTCTCCCGAAGAATTTTACGGTAATTACTGATTTTCAAACGAGTTGTGCTCCTGTGGGTTTTTACGAATTTTTCTCAAATTTTCACAGGACATAGCTAAAGACGTCAGTTTCAAAATTGTGTTCGGCTTTTTTTAAATTTTGGATATTTTAATAATAAAGAGCAATTCACTCAAACAATTCAGAAATACATTGCAGTCGTCAAAGAAATCGCCATATCAGCGGGAAGACGAAATAAACAAAAATTTCCGAACACAATTTTTTAGATCAACTATTTTGCTGTATAAAAATGATATTTTCATAAATATAACTTAAAACCAGCAGGAGCACAACTCAAAAGCGTAATGGTACCGCGATTTAAGATTTTCCTGAATAATTCTTACATTATTTTATTGTTTGTTAATTTTAAAACTTTACCATATTTTGCATGCACTGGAGAACATTTGGTGAAAATTTGATTAAAATCGGACTGATATTGAGCGCGCAGTAGCGATTTTTCGCAAAACGCCAAAAAGGGTGTCCTGTAACCTTAAAGTTGTCATGGTTTTGGTTGATGGATGATCAGCATATTCTCCTCTGGACAGCGAAGACTTGAAGGTGAAGTGAAAGTAGTCGTTCAGAAGATTTGCAATATCTTCCGGTTGTTCTGCTGTAACACTACGATCATCACGAGACCAAACAATTTTACGTGGAACACCGGAAGTGCATGAAACGGATTTGAACACAGACCAAAATTTCTTAGTGTTGGACTTCATCAAATTTGACAATTTTTGGAAAAACTCTTTCCGCTTCCGTGCCACCAATGCTTTAAAAGAGCGACGTAAGTTTCGAAAGTTTTCCCAATGGCAAGGTTTCGAAGTTCTTTTTGCTTTTCTTCGTGCCGTTTCTTTCCTTGTAACTATATGGCTATGCATATTATTTTACCTGAAAAAATCTTGTTTTATTACTTGGGCTTGCCATCGTAGCCCAAGTCTAGAAATGGGCTTTCTGCAACACCGCGGAAAAGGCCCGCGCGAATTAAGATTACGAACAGCGCGGTTTTGCATAATTATCAAGAAACAAAGATGACCGAAACCAAACTAGATTGCATCAGAAAAGTTACGAACCTACGTTACCCGTCAACAAACTTAACGGTTTGATATCCATAGATAACTGGTGAGTAAGATAGAAAAAAGAACGCAAGAAAATAAAAAGAAAACAACAGGAACGGGAAAAGATTCAACAGGAAAATGAAACGCGAGAGCACATAAAGCATCAAACACGGTATTAAATCCGTAATTTCGTCTCCAAAACAAAAGTATTCGCTCCCACAGCCGCGCCATTCAGTTAGTGATGAAATATATTTACCTTAGTATAATACAGCTGTTGATTCGCAAGTCGACCATGACATCTTTCAATGAATACTGCTGCCCCAGCATAAGGTTTTGATATGTCGATGCAATCTTCGTCATGAATCAGTTCTCGTTTGTAAGAATAAATAAATCCCTAAAAGAAATTGTCATTAATCATCAAGCATGAAGAATATATAATTATTTTGTTTCGAACAGTAGATAAATATTAGGCCATCAGCCACTCACCTGATTTTGACTTTTCGTTTCCCCCATGCAGAGACTACAATTTGACGGGTGCAAATTTCGTCTAAAAGCTTATAAGGTCGAATAACAAAATGTTGTAATCGATAACACCTGCAGTTTTGCCAAAAATTGGCTTTCAAATTTGATAATTTT